TAGAAAAATGTTTTTCTCACTCTAGTAATATATGGGAAATAAGGTCCTTCCAAATCAAATACATTATAGTTGTTTGATAGCTTTCAATAAAAATGCCCAGTTCTCTGAACCTTTTGATGAAGTGAAAGCCTTATATTCAGCCAGGCGTGGTGGTGCATGCCTGTAATCCCAGGGGCTCAGGAGGCTGAGGCAAGAGGATTGCAAGTTCAAGCCAGCTTCAGCAATTTAGTGAGACCCTAAAGCAACTTAGTGAAATCCTGTTTCTAAATAAAATATAAAAAAGGGCTGGGGATGTGGCTGAGTGGTAAAGTGCCCCTGGGTTGAATCCCCGGTAAAGAAAGTCTTGTTACCTTCCATGTACTGCCCACTCTCCACAAGCCAGGTGACAAGGCTATGACAGGCCATCATCTACACAAGAGGCCTTTTCAATTCTTATCTAGCCCCCACTTTCTGTTTTTAAAGCAGAGCCTGCCATAATACAGTGACCTGTCAAACATTAAAAAAAAAGATTGATTGCCTTAAAACACAAAAAAGAAACCAAAGCAAAAATCCCGGGACTCCATCCTCAGAAGTTGCCAGGCCCATGGAACTAAGTTTCTCTGTTGCTTCAGACCTGGGGAGCTGTGGCCGGATGGCCCTTTCCATCTTCCATCCTCCCACCCAGCAAGGGGAGGGTGGAGCATCATGTGGCTTTTTCCTGGTTAGTGCGCTGAGACTCCTCAGGTAGGAACTCCCACGTCCCCCCCGGAAGCCTGCTCCAGCCAGCCATTTGATGCTTGTGGAAACAAAGATGTGGTACCACATGAGCAGCTCCCTCCTGAACTAAGCAGTCTCTGGACATCTGATTAAATCTGCATAAAAAATGCACCCACTCCTTGGCCATTGGGCACATAGATAATTGAACTACACAATTATTCGCAACCACTAAAGAGATACCAATCTACCTGTGTTTAAGCCAAGAAACTTCAAATTTGCCAGACCATAGGAAGGACATTCCAGAGAACAAGGCCATCTGTCTTTATTATTGTGGGTATTGGAGCTGGAGAAACCTTAAAGAGAATCCAATTCCAACCCTCCCACTTTATCGAGGAAGAAATTGGGGCATAGGTAAGATGCGTGGGGTTCCATAGCTGAGAACCAAAGCTTTGCTTCTTCATTTCTGAAATGGAGGTGTTAAAAATTGGAAATATTTCCTGTGAGTCACATGCTTGTGATGACATCAAATAAGAAAATATATGTGGAAATACTATTGTGTAAACACTAGGTAAATTTAGCAGAATTTGAGCCAGTGCTATTTTTTTAAAAATATTTTTTAGTTGTTGGCGGGCCCATATTTATTTATTTATATATGGTGATGAGAATCAAACCCAGTGCCTCACACATGCTAGGCAAGCGCTCTACCACTGAGCCACAACCCCAGCCCCCTCAGTGTGCTATTTTTAATGGGCCGGGAACAGTAGAGAAGTCCATGAGAGTGTTTCCGCATGTTGTCACCTTTCTGAACATGCAGCCCTGAGATGCTGCCCCTCCTGTGTGAACTTGCTGGAAATCCTAGCTCTAGGGCTGGGGCCAGGCATTCACAGGCCGACCCCTTCCTTTCTTTGGGAACTCACTCAGCTGTGGAAAGGGAGTGAATAGGCCCCTTCCAGCCAGTTCTGGATGTCTCTGGGGAAGTTGGAGGCAGTAGACCTCCTTTCATTGATTTCCTAGAACAGCGTGCACACTGGTCCTCAGCTTCTAATGGTTTGACTTTAAGATGGTATAAAATCCTACCTATGCAACCACTCTGATTTCCAGCTCAGTACAGAATTCCATAAGTTAACCAAGTCAACAGCACTCCTATAAAATAGGCTTTGTGTGAGATGATTTTTGCCCAACTGGAGGTGAATGTGAGTGTTCTGAGCTCATTCCAGGTAGACTGGGCTAAGCTGGGATGATCAGCAGGTTAAGTATCTTAAAGGCATTTTCAGCTCAGAGTATTTCAACTTATGATATGTTTATTATGAAGTAACCCCAACTTGAGTTGAGGAGCACAAGTCAAGCCTGTGGACTCCAAAGTTAGAATCCTGGGTTCAGAGGCAGATTTGTGTGACCTTGGGCAAGTTCTTTAACCATTCTGGGCCTAAATTTTGTCATCTGCAAAGTGGGTTGATGGGAGGATTCAATTAAATAATGGACACAAGCTACTTAGTGCTGTGTACGGAACCCCATAAGCTCCTAGTCGTGACTGGCTGTCATGATAACAACCACAGGAAAGATTTTGCTTCTAAAGCAAGTCCACCAATATCAGCTTCTTTCTTCCAAGTTCTTTGTCTTTTCCTTTGAAGTCAAGTACAAAGTTTTGGATAACTGCCATTTCTGGTGGGCTGAATGCTGGTTAATCAAGAGTTGGCTCCCCTCTCTCCCTTTGCTATTCATGTCTGTTTATGGACAGAATTTGTACGGAGGCTGCTGGACATCAGATGGCACTTGTCTCAAGCCACATTCATTCTGAGGGAAGGAAGCAGATGTGGTTTCCCAGGCAGTGGTCCCCACTTTCAAACTATTAAGGCAAACTGGTTTGATCCAGGTCAGACAAAATCCGACCAGAAGTAGAAAAAGAAAAAAATAGAGCTGATATCATGTTTTGTCTGAATGCATCAGGGAATATATTTTTTTTTCCTGGGGATAAATAACAAAGAAGCATCCTCCCATCCACACAAAAGTAATAAATAGTAATAAAATCTCTTGTGAACAGCCACTTTTTAATAATCTGGATATAGAAGATGTGGGTTCAAAGTCACGGGGACAGTAATATTAAATGTATCACATAAAAACACAAAGAACGTGGAGAACTTGGTTATGGATTTATGATATGTTTATGAGGCTCAATATGTGCTTTTTAAGAGCCTGCTTCCCATGGCTTTTCAAAGAGAAGGCAGTCCAGAGACTATTTCTACTTGGCCTCCCGGAAAGTGATGGGGAGAGGGCCTGGGAGGATGCTGAGGGCCTGTTTGGTGATAGGAGAGGAAGTAAGTTAGTGAACTTGCTCAAGGATCTTAGCCCCTTTGCATAGGAAGTTAACTCAATGGTCCAGGTGTCCTGGTGTGATCATCTGGACGAGTGTTCCTTCTGAAAGAGAGGTGTTAGGCCAACTCTTGGGTTTCAGGTATGAAACCATTTGTCTTCTATGGCTCAGTTATCTTTCCATAGTCTCAGGTCTTTCCCACCCTCAAATCCTGCTATCTGGTGACCTCTGCTCTTGCTGACCATCTAATTCCCCAGGGGCACCTTCTCCAGGCCTTCTTTCAGTGGGTTCTCTTGCATTCTTGAGCCCGACACTCCTCTGTCAGCCAGTTATAGTTACTAATAATGCCAAGTGCTGAGCACTTGCTCATTGCTAGGTATTTATAAAAATGATCTAAAATCCTTCCAAAAGCCCAGAGATGGGCATTTGTAGCTCATTTTTTTTCATAGGGGAAGATTAAATCTCAGTTTTGTTATTTGATCTCTTAGTTCATTTGTGCTACTATAACAAAATACCATAGACTAGGAGATTTATAAAGCATGGAAAAATTTATTTCTCACTGTTCTGGGGTCAGAGAAGTCTAAGATGCAGATGCTGGCAGCTTTGGTGTCTGGAGAGGGGCTTCCAAGATGGCTCCTTGTTGCTGTGCACTCACATCAGGGAAGGGGGTGAAGAAACAAACTTGCTCCCTCTCACCACACTAATTCCATCCCTGAGGGTGGAGCTCTCTTGGCCTAATCACCTCCAGAAGGCTCCACCTCTTGACCTATGCCTTTGGGGATTAAGTTTCAAATGACTTTTGGAGGAGATACAAACATCCACACCATAGCACTGGATTTGTTCAGAGTTGCATGGCTAATTAGCAGTAGAGACAGAATTTAATCCCAGATCCTCTCCCTCTCTAAGACTGGGGATCTTTCTAAAATCCCAGTGGTCTTCAAACATGGGTGGCCAGTGGACTTCTCTCAGAATAGAGTCATATAGAAGGTAAATAAAGGTGGAGCTCTGGGATGGGCTCTCTTATCACATGCTTACAGTAAGTCATCCATTTTCAGTTAAAGGCCAGGTAACTTTTTATTTACTCATTAATTCAGTGGGATGGAGTTGTTTTTGAGCAGCACATTTCTTTTTGTTGTAAGCAAGTTGTGTGCAACTAACTTTGTTTTTGCAAAATGTGGATAATGCAGCCTCCTTGGTAGGTTTACAGGAGGTCATGGTGGAGAGTACATGGGAGGCACTATGCGAATGGCAGGTATGACTATGATTTCACACTCAGTTTTAGTCTCTATGCCAAGACCACGAGGATTAGCTTCTCATTTGATGAATGACCTAAGTGAGTCAGGATCCACATGAGTCTTACAGGCTCTCCAGCCCTGCACAGCAGAGAAGGCCCCATTCATCCAGGAGAGCATAAAGGGTGCTAGATACGAGTAAACCGGGGGAAGATGTGTGTCTCTGTTCTCCAGAGCCAGGCACCCTAGCAGCAAGAATTTTGAAATGTCACTTCCATTAGTGAAGTGGCTTCCTGGTACTTGGTAAAATTCTTTAGTTCCAGAGCCCTTCTGGCAATTCGAGAAGGGTTCTGATTCTGATATTACCCTGGACAGAAAATTATTCTTTCTTTTTATTTTATTTTCTTTCTTTTTGGTACTGGGGATTGAATTCAAAAGCACTTGACCACTGAGCCACATCCTCAGACCTATTTTGTATTTTATTTAAAGTCAGGGTCTCACTGAGTTGCCAAGGCTGGCTTTGGGCTTGAGATCCTCCTGCCTCAGCCTCCCAAGCTGCTGGGATTACAGGAATGTACCACCGTGCCTGGCAGAAAATTATTATTTCTCAAATTTCTTTTTTGGTACTGGAATTGAATCCAGAGGTACTTAACCACAGAGCCACATCCCCAGCCTTTTTTCTTTTCTTTTTCTTTTTTTTTTTTTTTGAGAGAGAGTCTTGCTAAGTTGCTGAGGCCGGCTTTGAACTTGTGATCCTCCTGTCTCATCCTCACCTGCCTGGCCTTAAATTTCTTTCTAAATTGCTGAATTCTCTGAAGGTGGTATTCCTGCCCCAGGATACATATCAAGACGTGTCTTTCCCTTGGAATAGTCAAGAGCTGCACCCCAGGAGTGGAGTGGACCAGGAAAACCTGTGTAACAGAAGGGGTTGAGGAGGAAACACCTTCACTCTCTTCAGCTGGGCTTAGAGAGAGCGAGCTGTTCCTTTTTTTCTGGATCCTTTCCTTCTGCAGCCACAAATTTCCATATGGATGTCCTACAACAACCATGGAGGCCTGCAGTTATCTCAGGAGTGTTTGTTAGCCCCCCAAGCAGATGAACTTGGAAAGGAAGAGTTGAGTGCCTGGGGAAGAGGCTGGGGGTCCTCTGGTTACATGAGGCATTTCCCATGCAGAATAAACAGACTTGGAGAAACCGTGGATGCCTGGGCCAAAAGAGCCCAAGGATGTTCTGGTATCTATGAGGGCATATAAAATCTGGAAGGGAGTTGGGCGTGGTGGCACACACCTATAGTCCCAGCTACTCCAGGAGGATCACAAGTTCAAAGTCAGCCTGGACAACATAGTGAAACCTGTCTCAACACACACACACACACACACACACACACACACACACACACACACACACTGGAGGGGCTCATGGCAAAGGGGAGATAGTGGATTCTCCTTGAGCCTTACCTGGATTTAGAATCAGAGCATTTTAGATCTTGGGTTTAGGAGACACTTCAGGGCTCTTGGAAGCTGTGCCATGCCCTGGCAGGTCTTTCTTGAATATGTTAATGTAGGCATTTGGCTGCAGGTGAAATTAGTTTCAGGAGAAACAGAAGAGCAGAGGGAATTCTGGACCCAGGGTGACCTGGGCTGTGGGCAGGCAGGAGGTCCTGGGTCTGTCTCTTCCTGTTTGTGCCCTTGTTCACCTCTGCACTGGCTTCCATACAGGAGGCTTTCTCAGTGGTGACAGAGATACCTGTGGTGCTTCCCGGTTGTCACTGTCCTCAGAGCTGCTGTTCCTAGAAAAGAAATGGATCAAAACTCTAGCTGGAGTACCAGCAGTGACAGGATGGGCCCCGTTTGGGTCACATACCCATTGCCTGAAGCAGCTGCTCCATCCAGGACAATTCTGATTGGCACCATCTCAGAGATCACAGCCTTGGTGGGATGTCCTTCTGCCCATCTTTTGGAGTGGCAGAGTGGGTACCACAGTTGCCTATGGCAGGTAGAATAATGCCCCCCTTCCCCTCAAGCCCCAAAGATGTTCATATCCTGATTCCCAGAATCTATGGATGTGTTATATTCAATGGTGAGGGGGGGTGGGTGGGAAATTAGGGTTAGAAATTGAAAAAGAATGTTTAGAGATTATCCTAGATTATGCAGGTGGGCTCAATGTAATTGCAAGGGTCTTTAAATGGGGAAGTAGGAGGCAAAACAGTATAAACTAGAGAGACCACACTGGGAAAAGACGCGCCTGACCATCGCTGGCTTTTTTCCACTCTAGAAGGTGGAAAAGGGAAGACAGTGGATTCTCCCAGAGCCTTACCTTGATTTTTGTCCAGTGAGACCATTCTACACTTCTGACCTCTGCCACTGTAAGGTGATAGACTTGTGCTGCTTTAGTTACTAAGTTTGGGGTGATGCGTTATCCAGCAACAGGAAAATAACACACTTCCTAAAATAAAAAGGAGATCATTCAGGCTTCCTGGTACCTAGGTGAGACCCTGAGACCCAGGTGTGACACTTGGGCGGTAGCTCTTGGGATCTTAGGGCCCCTGCCAACTTCACTTCATCTCTCTTCCATCCTGCTGTCAACACACAGATGCCACTTGGACATCAGGATCAACCACACCCTACAGAAGGGGGAGGCCTGGGCTGGAAGTTGTAGAGTATTATGGTTTAGATATGAGGTGTCCCCCAAAAGCTCCTGTGTGAGAGGATGCAAGAAAGTGTAGAGGTGAAAGGAGAGGGTTTGAGAGCCTTCACCTAAGCAGTGCATTAATCCACTTGAATGGATTATCTAGGTGGTAACTGTAGACAGGTAGGGTGTGACTGCAGGAGGTGGGTCCCTGGGGTGTGCCTTTGGGGGTGTGTATTTTGTACCTTAGGAGCAGAGCTCTCTTTCTGATCGTCCTGCCCTGAGCTGTTTCCTGCTCCACACACTTCTGCCCTGAAGTTCTCCTTCACTTGGGCACAGAGCAGAGAAACAGGCCGTCTATGGACTGAGACCTCTGTGTCCATGAGCCCCAAATAAACTTTTCCTTCTCTACATTGCTCTTGTCAGGTATTTTGGTCCCAGCAAAGAAAAAGCTGACTACGACACAGAGCCGCAGACCAGCCTTGGAATTCCTATGTTTGAGCAAGAAATAAACTTGTATCTCATCTAAGCCACTGTTATTTTGGGTATGTTCAAAACTCACAGCTGGAGCTGATCCTAAGACTGTAGAAACAAAAGACTTTCACGCTGATGTTCAAGGAGGCCCAACAGATGGGTGTCTGCCTAGCCGCCCCTGGTCCCTGCCGATATCTTTCCATGGGATGTGGCAGTCTGGGCCTCACAGCCCTCATCTCATTACCTCTCTTGCCTCAGCTGCTGGTGTCTGTTCTTAGGCAGCGACACTCATCATCCTGAATCATCTTGATCTCCTGGTTCTCTGGACTCTGCCTGGCTTTGGTGGGTTGCCCTGACCCAGTTCTGGTCCCCTAGATCTCACTCCCACCGTGGCTGACCTCCCCCAGTATCTCACTCAGAGAAAGGCACAAATGCAAAATATAACTAGCAAGGAAGACCCTGTCTAAGGTCTCTGTGTGTGATTTCAGAGGAATTTGTAATTATCATAGTTTTTGAATAACATGGGGCAGAAAATTAAGTGCATTATGTTTTAACTTCATTTAATTTTCAGAACAGTTGGTGGTAGGAGCTAGTGTTATCTCCCTTTCCAGGTAACTGAAGCTGTGTTAGCAGAGAAGTTATCTAAGGTCACTCAGCTGCTAAGTGGCAGAGCCAATATATACGCCAGGCAGTCTGACTCCAAAGCCCATGATGCGATATGTTAGGTGTGCAAACTTTCAAGCCCAGATATTCTCATCTGGGTAGCACTTATCTCAAAAGCAGACAATCAGGTCAGCAGGTCAGGCTGCCATGGGTGGCTGGGTGGACTGTGCACTGCAAAACTCAGGAGGTACCCTATACATACATTGTCATCTGTGTTAATTGTAAATCCTGGAGTTGTGCAGTGTACAGTATACACAACTCTATGTGGCCACTCGGAGATCTTGGAGTCTGTATAATCAAATTGCACAGGCCACATGGAAATGTCAGGGGCTCAGGGGAGAGCTATTAAAAAACTGTGATTGGGAGTTGGCGTTGAAAATTAGGAATCAGGGAAATAAGCCAAGGTAACAGGAGACAGGGACACAGAGGACTCTTGCAGGGGCAATCTGACAAAGTCTACGGGTGTTTCTTCCCTGCTTGGACCTGTACTAGATGACACTTTGAAAGAGGGAGGGGTTAGTTTCAACTTTAAATTTTTTTTCTTTTTTCTTTTTTGTAGTTGTAGATGGACAGCATACCTTCCTCATTTATTTTTATGTGGTGCTGAGGATTGAACCTCGTGCCTCACACATGCTAGGCAAGTGCTCTGCCACGAAGCTATAGTCCCAGCCCTAGTTTTGACTTTTATATCACAAACATAATACATGCTTATTGAAGGTTGCTTAGAAAATATAGAAAGGTTTAAAAAAGAAAATACCTGTTGTCCCATGACCCAGAGAAAACTGCTGCTAATATTTTTTTTATATTTTCTCCAGGTTTTCTCTCACTCTCTTTCATCTGACTACACATACCTAGACATAAATTTTGAGGTGTATTTCACCTGTCTCTATACCTATATAACATAGTATGTACAGAGATAGTTAGATGTCTCCCTCTATGTATTGATCAGTCAAAATAGATTCCTCTCTGTCCATATCTCTCAATTGACCATGTGTGTACCTCTGTCCAGAGATCTCCATATCTGTCAATTGCTCGTCTAGCTCTTGTTCTCTCTAGATCAATGCACTGTGAGCGGGGACTGAGCATGCTGATATTATTAGTACCCTGCACAGTTTCCACCCAGTTGTCTAGAGAGGACTCTCACGTGTCATGCTGCCCCTCACTTATCTCAGCATCTGAGGGGCTCCACCTGGCTGCCGACGCAGTCCTGGCGACTCTTGAAGAGCCAGCAGGCCTTAGGATGGAGAGGCTGTTAATAGGCTTTCAGGCAAGGAGAGTTAGTGATGCTTAGGGTGCACAGGGTATCACGGCTGGAGGGTCACATGGGCCTGCCCAAAGTCGTGGGCTTGCTGGTGCATGGGGTCAGGGCACGTTCCTCTGGCACAGAGGCCTGGGAGGGGGCACAGTTCTGCCTCCCCTCCTCTTTACCTTGCTCCTGTCCCACCTTGACAGCACAGACACAGTTTCTCGATGAGGGAACGAAGCCCCGGGGAGGTGACTGGGCCGACTTGAGGTCACACAGGGCGTCAGTGGAGTTCTGGGAGTGGAACCGGGGCTCCTGACTTCTTTCCAGGAACCCAGCATGTCTGCGCATGTGTGCTGTGGCAGGCCAGCCCTACCACATGTTCTGGAATAGTGTTCTGTGGTCCGAGCAGGGTGGGGAGGTGGCACACGGTACTGCTCTCTTGGAGAGTCCCAGCTCCTCAGCTTACTGAAGGGTCTGGGAAGGCCTGCAGGAAAGAAACCAGTGAACTTGGTTGGATCCATTATTTCTTGAATGTATGTGGACAAGGAAGCTTTCCCATTCACGGTCTAGCTGTGTCTTGAAGCACGTACTTGGGGAAAGCGAGACTGTAGCACCCCACACGGCTTGTTCTCTTAAGCCAGAAAGGATACCTGAGGACATAAGAAATGCCACATGGGGTCAGAGTCACTATCTTAGTCCAGGAACATGCTGTCGGATGGGTCTGCCAAGAAAAGTGTTGTCACAGCATGTGGCTACCCTTTGCTGGGGCTGAGTTTAGAGACTGGACACTGGGTTTTCCTTAATGGCCTGATAGCTCTAGCTGATGCTGTCGTCCCCAAGTATATTTAAACTTAAAAAATTCCAAGCACCTTACATTGAATGAACTCCATGAGAGCAAATTTTTGCATGTCTCATTCATCCCTTTGTCCTCAGGGCCTAGACCAGCACCTGGTATGCAGTTATCACTCAATAAAGACTTGCTGAATAAATGCAATTCAATTTCCAATGATGTTTGGGGGTTACAGAGTTCCCAAATCACTTTCCTCTGAGTGACATAAAATCTTTTCCTTCTAGACTGACTTATAACATACAATTCAGATTTAACAAATATTTGTTGAATGCTTAAGGAACATGAGTCCCGTGGTAGACATATCCCTGTAGAAATCATCTCTTATTTAATCTTGTCATTGGCCCTGTAAAGTCCTGTGATCTTGGCTGAGCCTTGGAGTTCAGTGACTTAACCAAAGTGGTGATCTTAAGAGGCAAGACTGAGAATTATGCCCCCATGGCCAGAATCAGGGTAGCTAGTTAATAGAGCTGGTCTGGGATAATAGCTGTGTGAGAGCAAACTTGGGATGAATCAAGAGGCAGGTCCCAGGTGGGGTCTCCTCCATGTTACAAAGAAAGCGTTTCCTTTTCCTGAAACTCGTCTGGAGTAAGGACTGGGTCTTATGGTTGTCCTGGGCACTGAATGGAGACCCTAGGCCACCTGTCATGTGTCTTTGTGGAAAGCAGCTCTGCTTAAGGCACAGAAGAAATATGAGAGACATGGATAGTCCCAGATGACAGAATAGCCAGGTGCTAAGCCTCCAGGGTCTTGGTAACGGCAGCACAGTGCCATAACACAACGGTGACTTCAGACTGCCCTGGCCACCCAGCAGGCTGATATTTCTTTTTCCACTGAAGTTTTTGAATGCTCAGGCATCCATCTAATTAGTAAGGCAGTAAACCTTTTTTTCCAGTTCAAGAATTAAAAAAAGACAGACATTCTAATGCCCTGTTGTCCCCTGGAAACAGTGTCCACTCCTTTGCGCTAACTGCTAATTGCACTTTGAGAGATTGTGTCTGGTCAGATTGGAAGATTACGTCTCAATAGATTCCTAAGATGTTAGAGCTGGGAGGCGTCCTGAGATCATCTCTTCCCTTATCCTACAGCGGAGGAAAGCGAGGCTCTGAGGTCACCCAGGTCACCCAGGTCACCCAGCCATTGGCTGGTAAAAACCAGGCTTCAAGTCTCCGGACTCATGATGCAGTTTTCTTCAGCCTCCAACACTGCCATCCTGAAAGCAGTCGCGGCTCTGTCACTCGTGTGACTAGAAGCAAAAGTTTATTATCTTGGCCCCTCTGTAAGTGGCTCATCGGGAGGTGCAGGGAATGCTAGATCTACCTCATGGAGTCACAGTAGGGAATAATGAGATTTTGCCTGGGAATAGCTTTCTCCATTGCCAGGTGCACACAATTCCTCAGTAAATTAGAGTTTTGGAAATTCTTCACAGGACTGTCATTATCCCTTACAGTCAAGAACAGCATGCTCTCCCTCATTGGTTTTGTGAGAAGGAAGGAGCACCAATGTGTGTGTCCCCACGCACCTTGGACGTGCAGGAAGAGCACGTACTTGCACCCTGCATGCTGGTTTTCGTGTTTACCCCGCCCTGGGTTCAGTGAGACCCTAGGCTTTTCTCGAATCTGAGAAAAGTAATCTGTCAAATCCACTCACATTTAATGACATTTCATTCCTCTTGGGGCGCCTGGACGATCGTTATGGTTTGGCTGCGAGGTGTCCTCCAAAAGCTCACAGGTGAGACAATGCAAGAAGGCTTAGAGGCGGAATGACTGGGTTGGAGAGCCTTAACCCAACTGGTGAATTGATCCCCTGATGGGGTTAACTGGGTGCTGACTATAGGCAGGTGGGGGGTCGGTGGGGTGTGGATCTGGGGTATATATTTTGTATCTGTCACGTGGAGTCTCTCTCTCTCTCTCTGCTTTCTGATCATTTTATGAGCTGCTTCTCTCTGCCAGACTCTTCTGCCATGATGTTCTGCCTCACCTGGAGGCCGAACAGCACCAGCTATCTATGGCCGGGATCTCTGAAACCGGAAGCTCTCAAATAATCTTCTCTTCCTTTTATTGTTCTTGTCAGGTCCTTTTAGTCACAACAGTGATGATACTCGGTGCTGAGTAAGTCTTTGCAAGGGGAGGTTGGACTCTCAGGTGAGGATGCCGGGCGGAGAGGAGAGGGAGCTTGGGTCTTCCTGGAGCCTCCCAGTCAACTACAGGAGGTGATCACCTGCTAGGTCCACAGCTAGGCTCCCCTGCTCCACCCTGCCTCATCCTGGTGTGCCATCTGCCCTCCTACGGAAGAATTACTGCCCAGACCTGTGGTTCCTTGGCGTAGGAAGTGGAAGTAGCCCTAAGCGTGTGGGATGCGGCTGGACTCTCGCTGTCTGGGCTCAGGTTTCAAAATCAAGAGCTTCCCACAGGTGGGATAGCTGAGTGAAAACTCTTTGCACTTTCTTAAAGTAGAATGATTAAAAACCTAAGCGTAGTTAGTATGAACAATGAACTTAAATAGCACAAATAGGCTTCACTTTTAGGTGAATATGCTCGTTTAATTCAATATCTGAGTAGAAACTCTCTCTTTGCATATAAGCTCCAATAGTGACTGGCCTGATCCTTACATCAGCTAGATACATATAACGTTTGGTTCAAGAGGTTTCTTGGGGGCTCTAGAACATACAGGGTTCTTGGGGTACCTTCATGGTTTTGTTTGCTCTCAGTGTGTTGCACTGTATTGCTGGTTTTATCTCCTCCAACAGGGCTGCTGGTGGATCACACGAAGTTCTAATTAAATGAACTTTCACTCATGCCTGTAATCCTAGTGGCTCGGGAGGCTGAGGCGGGAGGATAGCAAGTTCAAAGCTAGTCTCAGCAAAACAGAGGCCCTAAGCAACTCAGCGAGACTCTGTCTCTAAATAAAATACAAAATAGGTCTGGGGATGTGGCTCAGTGGCCAAGTGCCCCTGAGTTCAATCCCTGGTACCTGCCCCCGGCCGATCCCCCACAGGAAAAAAACATAAGTAACTCAAAATGATTCCTGTCTCACTTTTGTAGATTGAAGGCAAACAAAAGGGAACTAGAAGCAACCGCTGAGCTGTCCCACCTCTTAGAGGAGCTCTTCATCAGCCACTTGGAGAGTACAGACGGGTGATCTAACCAAGCCTGACAGGAAGTGGGTCCCAAGTTCAAAATTATCAAAAATCCTGGATGAAGTATGGACAAGCATCTACTATTGTTTATTAATAACAAACTTTGCCCCAAGTCTCCTGGGCTTTGAGTTATTCACTGAGAATAGCATGTAGTCATCATCGTTTTCAAGATTTAAAGAAGATCTTTCCTTCAGGGACATTTTAAAAAATGCACAAAATAGAAAATAAAACCATGAAACCTCATTTGCCTAACACTTCACTTCAATAACAATCAGCATTTGGTCAAGGCAAGACTTAAGAAAACTTATCATTTGCTCTTATTTATTTTTGTAGTATTGAGGATTGAATCCAGGGCCTCAAATGGGCTAGTCCAGCACTTTACCCCTGAGTTACACCCTCTGCCCTTTTTATTTTTCTTTGAGACAGGGTCCTCCCAAGTTGCCGAGGCTGGCCTTGGACTTGTGATCCTCTTGCCTCAGCCTCTTGAGTCACTGGGATTACAGGTGTTACCACTGTGTCTGACCTACTGGCTCCCTTTAAAAAAATTTCTGTACTTGTATGTTTTATAATGTACATGGGATCTACAGTGTGTATACGCATAGAAAACAAATGGACATAAATTAAAGGTGTGTGCTCAAAACCTTTGGCCCTCTAAGGGAGTGTAATCAAATGTTTAGAGGCGGCTTCAAGAGGTTTCTTCTCTACTGCAGCCAGGAGGCCTGTCCGGTGTGCAGATCTGATCCTGTAGCTCTGTGTGGCATTCCCTCAGTGCCTTCTCCCTGCTTTTAAGGAACATTCTGTAAGGACCCACCTCAGTCTGCTGCTTCACTCCTGTCTTGCTTCCTCTGCTCCGGCCCCTGTGCTGGTTTGCAATGCAACTTGTGCCCTGCACACACATTGATCCATGTTTTTTCTTGCCCAGGGCCTCTGCACATTCCTCTCTACTTTCCATCTCAGCTGCCATACTGCTTTCTTAGGGAGTCTTTTGCTTCCCTCCGGTCCAAGTTGAATTTCCTAATGGAAACTTCTGATGGAATTGAATCCTTTCCATCATTGCTCTGGTCTTAATCAGTCACAGCAGATTCATCTCCGTGATGGCCAATGTCTCTCCCTTCCTCTAAACTGTGTTCTCCAGGAAGTCTACCTCCCCAGGGTCTAATGGCATATCTAGCACATAATAGGCATTGAACAAACTAACAGAAGGCTATAGTATAGTTCAAGGTTAAAAGAGTACAAGGTTAGATGCGATCCCTATAAACCGGTTGGTGGATGAATCACCATTGCATGAGAAGTTCAGTAATGGAAGAGATAAGGAACAAGGTAAAAACACAATACAAGTTCACGGGCAGTGTACATCTAATTGCCAAACAAGCACAGTGGTTGTCAAATACATTAGGTTCAAAGGGAGAATGCGCTCTGTGGGATGGGCCGGGTTGGCTTCAGACTATTCTTTTGAAATACAGCAGCCACATGCGAGCCAGCACATATTGACATCCTGGAAGCTGAATCTTTGCCTATGATACTGACACTATAATTTAATTTTGATTTACAAGAGTCTCCAATTCGACCCTGAAGCCATCTGAGAATGTCATCTTCCAGATCATTCCAGTGTGA